CTGAATTGATTGACTGATGCCAAATAACTGAATTATATATCCAGTAATTTAGCCATAAACAAATGACGACATAAAATAGAATCACCAAAATGTGTCCTTATATAACACACATTAAATACATATTACCATGACCTATACCAAAACCTAGAATCTATGGCATGCTTTTWTAATGATGGGCTTCCTGTGTTACAGGCAGTCCAACAAAAGAGCAGCTCACTAGGCCAATGTTACATTGGAACTAATGCTGAATTAGAGCCTAATGCAGCACTTCTCATTATCTTTAGTTGATATAATAAACTTTGTACTTACAATATTATAGGTTGCCAAAGAGAACAACTGCTCTCGTGTTCAATGGATGTCACCCCAAGGTCGGCCATCTGTCAACTTCTACCATAAATTAGGGGCTGAATGTCTGGGTGATTGGTTCATATTTCGCTTGGGACAACAGAAGCTTGATGAAATAACTTCTTGAATTAAGAATTTTATTAAATATCACAAGTTCTTGTATTGATAAGTTTGTGTATAGTTTTATAATTATAAGATAATTCTTTTTTTATCTGGAAATGTGGTATAAGCAAAGCGGTTTAAAAATGTTTGGCTATACTAATTCAACAATATTGAGTATTCATACAAACAATACTTTTTATGGAAATTCGAGAAAKGAAAAACCAAACTAAAGAGAGGAATACTGTATTGACAGCTTTGCTTTGTGCATCCAGTTGAGTATTTCTAAAAACAAAAGCTTTTTTAATTTTTTTTGTTGTCATTTGAGTTCAACATCCAGGTAGACCAAGCATATTAAAAAACAAAAGTTTTAATTTAAACTAACAGTTCATTATCAAGCTTAAAAACGTACCTTCCAAAGCCCKTCTTCTTAGAAACGTGCCACGCTGCAAATCAAAAATGGCGCCGACAACATTCAGGATGTAGCAGGCGTCACTCACCAATGGATCCCAATCTCTTTCAACGATATTTTGCCGTTTTACAATATCTTTTGATTCTTCTGTGTTTTCGATGAATTTAAAAAAATCATCGATTTACTTTCGGTTCATTTTATTTATTTATTTTATTTTATTTATTTATTTCTCAATTCTTTCAAATAATATCCCATCCATCCATATATTCATTCGCTTATCTATCATTCTATTATTTCTTTGCTTTCATTTTTGTCACATTTTTACACAGCATTGGCTTCGTCTTATTGCACTTGATATAGAGCAACTTGATATAGAGCGGATTTCGTATGAGTGGGAAACGGACGGTACTGTACTGTGACCGTAATCGTACTGTAACCAAATTCTAGTGCCCCATTGGTTCACAAAAATTGTGCAGGCCAGGTCCGGTAACTATGCGGTAACCGTGCGGTAACGGTGTCCCACTCATACGAAATCCGCTGTAAATACCGTTACAATATTACATTACGGCTGGAAATAGTACACTTTTGGTGWGGTAAAGTCAACAATTGACGCACTTTATAAATTATGTGATCACAACTGAATAAATATAAAGCTAATGAACAATCAAATAGCTAATCCAAGCAAAAACTACATAAATTATTMATGCTTTAGCCAATAGACTTATTAACGGAATAGTAATTAGTGGATCAGATCACTGCGTATTCCTTGTGGCCCAAAGCCTTGTGACCTCATTATCTATTGATCAATCGTTGCCGCTTGGCTGGTGAACAAGGGTCACTTCACTCGCGCTGAGAAGCGTTGGAGTGACTGTGTTGTAGTTTATGTAAATAGAACTCGATTGCAGTTGTAATACGAGGGGTGTGAAGCAGTCGAGCGACAGTCGACGTGTTTGCATAAAGTACTGGTAATTCACGCGTTTTGTGGCCTTCAAAACACTGTTCTAAGCTGGCTTATTGAACGTGTAAGTGATTCTCATTGTTTTTGTTGTAYTTCTCGTTATTGAATATCACTTTAGAGCTCTTGGAGCGTGACCCAAGCACTACTCGCTTTCATAAGTATCTTTTACGAGCCCTTTACACTTCGTGTACTTTTCAGGCTTTCAAAGCAAAAATCGTATCCCTTGTGAATAATTATCAGCTGTTTTGGATTGATTGGAATCCTATTTATTTWAGCAGACGCTCTATGTTCCTATGTAGAAGCTTCCTATGTCCGAAAATGATCATTTGGCCTTCGCAAGGGATGTGTTTTAGCGTCGTTTAGCGAGAAGACTGTAATTGTATCTAGTAGCAGACATATTGAAAGAAACATAGACGCGCCAGTGGACGCGATGTTTTGAAAATAGTAGATTAGAAAAAGAAAGCAATTAATCGTAGCATTTAAATGCAAAACGAAAACAGCAAAGCTAAATGTTACATTTTAGGAATCAATGGCTTAAGAAAAGCATTTTCGTATATTCTATTTTATTCTATTTCGACATGTTTGACCAATTCCGCTGTAAGTCTGTTGATTTTTGCACATTTTCAATGTAAACAACCGTGTCATRCCTCGTGGCCACGAACCACAAATGGGCGTGTTGCGTGACGAGTGGACAAAAGTCACGCTATTTTACCTGCGGCGCTGAAAAATAAACATGGTTCTCGCATTTTCACTGAGCAGGTTACATTTTCTAAATTTTGTAATAATAGATACCAAGAAATAAGAGCTTCTGTTGAAATTTGTAGCAATAAAGGTTAGGGCAGAAAGGCGTAAATTTGTTGAACGCGTAATACATGTTAGTTTACGTTACATGCCGTCCGCCATGCATGTCTGAGAAAAAGTAATTAATATAAATAGTCTGTTTTATTAAGTGGACGACATATGCTAAAGTTTTCCATTAAGTCTTCAAAGGCCCACCTGCTAGTCATTCGTTGTGATGTCAAACTACACAGGAATCCCGATAGAAACTGTGAAGGATTCAACCAAAAATCTATATTTAGTAAAATTTCAAAAAAAAAAAGAACAAACAAACAAACAAAAAACGGCAAATGCTGGATGAAACTGAGGCTAGATATATATTGGCCATTCCGTGATTCAAAAAGGAATGGTAACTAGTTAGTCATAAATTATAGAGTTTGAAGCAAAAGCGCAGAGTTTGACGGTATTTGGATGGATAATTACAACGTGGCATGCCAATTAAAGTTCGAAAAAGTAAAAATGAATACATGTGGCTTTGAGCTGTGTCAACCAAAAAAAAAACACTCATATAATCTCTTTAGTTTCAGTTGTAGATTTGCAAATTTAAACAAAAAATTGCTATTCAGTGTGCAACCAATTTCGAATACACTAAAATCGTAGTTTGATTTCATGTGGCAAGGCCGATAAGTGGACTATTTTTTTCTAAACAAAATTCATGATGTCGGCCATATTACTAATAAAATCTAATGCGCTTTTCTTTGAATTTCAGGCAATGCATGATGGGATCGATATCAAACGTCATCCTCATTGTTACCATGGTGACAGTCATACCATTGGTTACATGTGAACTGTGCGAGACTGGTGTAGTCAAGCCCATTAGAATATGCACCGACCAGTGTATTCGGAATACCACGTGCTCGTGCGAAGCGAGCCGAGGGASTGAAGTCGAGCACTGTAAACAATACTGTACCTACTTTACGCAGATCTGTTCGAGTATGACATGCCGTGGTGGCCTCACTTGCAACCAATACTGCGGAAGGGCATTGTGCAATATGACATGTGAAGACAATTCGGACATTTGCCGTCAGAATTGCACGGCACCAGGGAGATGTGACGTCATTAAGTGCTCGTCTGCAAAGTGTGACCAGCGATGTGCGAACTGTCAAATGATATGTACCAACGAAGTCGAAGACTGTAAACAGACTTGCCTGGGGGGATCCTGCGAGTTAAAATGTGCAGCAAAGAATTGTGTTTCCGATTGTAAAGTTAATGGTACTCAATGTGACGTGGATGAAAGCGGCAAAATCAGCCGAGGAGGTTATGTGGACTTGTCCGTGACGTTAGCGATTCTTCTTGTCCTGGCGCGGATTTTTGTTTAGGTATTTGATAATTATTAGTTATCGATAGCGGTTGTCAGAGACTCGACAATGGAAGAGAATGTCATAGAAAGGTGAACGCACGACTGAAAAGAACTCTGGGTAATATGATAAAGATTAATTTTTGACCCATCCCACCCATTAATGCAAATTCCATAACGGAGATTATTATCCTTATTGTAGTGCAAAATGTAGTTCCCGTCCAGTTGAAGCTCAGTGCTYTCTTATGAACTGCAAGAGATCAAGTAGTTTTAGTCTAACTTCTGACTCGTTTTTCGCCCCAAATAAGAGAATCCAGAGAACTAGAAGATTCCAGATTCCTAAGCGATGGTTCCGGATTCCAAAACATTGTTGGATTCCGGATTCCAAAGAATTTTCGTTTTTGGATTGTAAAACTTTTGCTGGATTCTGGATTCCAAATATTTGGATTCCGGATTCCAGGATACGGATTCCGGATTCTCTTACATGGGGCGACATTTTCTCTTCCATAACAGTGAGTTGCAGTGTACGTCGATCAGTGTAGATTGTCCAGCGGTCATATGAAATGTACTTAAATGGTTCAGTTCATTAATAGCTAATGTATTCCCATAGTACTGTTCGGCCGTGAATTTCTTCTAGAAAAAAGCAAAAACTGCACAGCGATTTTTAAATGTGCATTTAATCGAGGAAGATACAAAACTCCAGGAAAACTGATCTAGGTCTAGGCCACATTCGCACAAATACGTTTACGTATAGATTCGCAAGAAATATCTACGTAACGTATAGACTCGCAATCAGTATCTGCTTAGTTGTACGATCAGGCATCATGAATTATTTATTTAGCTAGAGTTTCAAACTAAATACTTTTGAGATAGAGATACGTAAAACAGCCTCCCAGTCACACTAATAAGCGCAAAACGTACTGCGGCGCTAACGTATACGTAATTTAACGTACAATCTAGTTTACGTAATTTATAACGTAAAAACTAGCACTCACAGTGGTTCAATACAGACCGTGCTTGCGTAATTTTACATAATTTGTAGCAAAGTATTTGGGTAATAAACATTTAGTAGCAAGCAATTATTTTTGTTTTATGAGTTTATTATTCGTTAGTTGACGGAAGTTCGTTCTTACGCGTCTTCCGGCGCAAAACACAGGAAGCCCAACCTTGAAGATCGAATTTAAAAGGCTTTTTAATGAGGAATAATTACTTGCCCTTTCATAACTTCACGAAATTAAAGTTGTGGGTTAAATCTTAAAGCAGTATGATATTGCTACCAGAGAACACKGGAAATCGCAAGAAACAAAAAGAAAATTTCAATTAATCTCTTTATTTTTGTTGTTATGATTGAGAAAATAATCTTGTAAATTCATTTCTTCTTACGAGTTGGGCTTCCTGTGCTTTTATTCAATAACAGAGGAAGTGCATGGGATGCTTTTTGAGATAATTCTACATCTCTAGTGGAATTAAAAGAGCGAGATGCCCTCATTCCTCGTTCACAACTTCCGAAGTCTTCTCTTGTGTTTTGCCCATATGATCGAGTGCTATGTAATATTGTT